GCATGGCGGGCCAACGCTGTTGCTTTCGACTATGCGACAACGCTATTGGCCCATTCGTGGTAGAAACCTTGCAAGAAAGGTAGTAGGAGAATGCGTACAATGTTTTCGCTGTAGTCCACGCACATCAAGACAAATTATGGCTCCACTTCCCGAAGTTAGAATTACACCAGCTCGAGTTTTCTCAAATTGTGGTCTGGACTATTGCGGACCCTTTTTAGTCCGCCCTCTTGTGGGCAGAGGAACCTCAGTCAAGGTATATGTTGCGTGCTTCGTATGCATGGTTTCAAAGGCCATTCATCTTAAAATGGTGTATGGTCTTTCCTCACAGTCATGTATAAACGCTATGAAACGCTTTATAGCTAGACGTGGACGATTGGTTAATCTCTACTGTGATAATGCTACAACATTTGTCGGTGCTAAGCGTGAGCTTAAAGATCTTCGGGCGCAATTTTTACAGCAGTTTCAATCAGAGATTTGGAATAATTACTGTCTCAATCAAGGCATTACTTTTAATTTTATTCCCGCTCGCTCACCTCATTTCGGGGGATTATGGGAAGCCGGCGTCAAATCCTTTAAGCATCATTTTCGTCGAGTATTTGGAATGAAATCCCTTCGATTAGATGAAATGACTACCGTCATAACTCAAATAGAAGCCATTCTGAACTCTAGACCATTGACTCCGCTTTCCAATGATCCTAAGGATCTAACCGCGTTGACTCCGGGGCATCTATTAATCGGAGAACCAATGTTTTCCATCCCCGAACCCGACGTAACCGATATCAATGTTAATCGATTGAATCGATTACAGGAAATGAGGCGTTCCATTCAAGATGTTTGGCGCCGATGGGCTCGCGATTATATCAGTCAACTTCATCAGCGTTCGAAATGGCAAACCGAGGTCCAGCGCGATCTATACAAAGGCGCGTTAGTTTTGCTGAAACAAGAAAACCTTCCACCGCTACAATGGAACATAGGACGTATCGTGGACATGTTTCCAGGGAGCGACGGGCACGTCCGAGTAGTTCTAGTGCAAACTTCAAGAGGGTTATTCAAAAGAGCAATAACAGAAGTGTGTCTTCTACCAATAGACGTTTCGCAGAAGATCGACAAGGAAGAGAGCACGGAGGTAAGGATGGTGTTCGACGAAAACCTTCACGGGAAGGAAGCAACTCAAAACCGAAGGAAAGTTCTGGTTAGGAAAATTGCATGAATTAGTATGTTGAAAATACACTTTTCAACGGGCGCCGGTGTGTTAATTCTTGAAATTAATTTATTTTTATTGAATTTTTGTTACTGTGCAAGGATGAATTCGCCTGAAATATAGTTCATTGGATAGTTTATAACTTGAATTGTATTGAGTAATAATTCTATAGTAACGGTGATAGCTTCCGGTAGTTCAAGGTATCATTATATTGGTATGGTATTGGGTATAAAATCGAGAATTATTTAGAATAAAGAACTCACTTGTAAACCAAAACTCTACCCAACAGTGTCTATAAGAAAGAAGGTCTTAGCAGTATTAAGCAAAATCCTCGGAAGGTCAGTCGAAGTGAATCCCACAAAACTTTAATTAACAGTTACTATGTTTTAAGCAATGTCAAAGTGAGAAAAAAAGGGGTAAAAAAGCACTAAATTTTCAAATGCCCATAATTTGGTCAATTTTTGTCGGATTTCGTTCTAGTTAGGTATAAGCCATAGGGAATATTATCAACTTTAACCACAATAAAAAAATTTCGAACCGGAAGTTCGTATGTCTTTTCATTCTCCTGAAAAAAATTCCAAAGTTCAACTGTTTTTCAGCCAAATCCAAGTAAACCTCCCCTTAAGGGAGCTGTGACCTCCGAGATGAAGCGTCGGTAATAATTTACTATCCCCAGAAACCGTCTTAACGATCTGACCGATGCAGTACGTTCGAAGATGACGATTGCTTCTATTTTATCTGAAATCCACCGTATTCCATTCTGTGACAGCACGAATCCTAAATACGGAAGTTGCGGCACACAAAACGTGGACTTCCCCAGATTTATCGAAAGGTTAGCGGCTCTAAGTCTTCTAGTCACTTATCTTAGACTCCGGAGATGTTCCTCAAACGTGTTGCTTGCAATGGCGATATAGTCAAGGTAGACAAACACGTTTGGTTCCAGTTCACCATTCCCATAAAACTTGGTCCATTAGTCTCGACAGGGTTGCCGGACTATTGATCAGCCCAAATGGTAGCCTGGTGAACTGGAACAACCCTCTCCCAAACACCCGGAATGCCGTATATTTCCGAGACTCGGGTTTCAACGGGATTTGCCAAAAAGCCTTGGACAGATCAATCGTCGTCTCCCCAGTCTCCCCAGAATACGGTCCTGGTGTGGAAGAGGGTAGGCATCTCTACGGGTCCTTTCATTAAGCTTCCTTACATTTAGGCACGTTCGCACCTTTATGCGTCCTTCTGCTCTAGATACTCCTTTCATGGTCACTATGGAACTATGAGAAGAGCTGGATCGCTGTTCGACCGTTCCACGACACCGGCTGCGATCCATTTATCTAACTCCTCATTCACGCTTTTCTGTATTTCCGGCGACCATGGATACGGGTTCAAACGAATTGGACCAGCATTTTTAAACTCATCCTTGAATTCAATTTTGTGGGTTATCAAGGCGGTCATATATAATCCTTCTTCTATTCAGTTTTTCTACCACAGTTGATCACAACACCCTTTCGATCCTGTCTCGCCCAATTAGGTTTACAAAAATATAAATTTCAATCTAATCCTACTAACGTTCGTCGGTTGATTCATACTCAGCTACCAGCACCAGTTACATTTTGATTTACTACCAAAAATGTCGGTGGTATGAAATCCAGTGTCAAGGAATTCCTGCTAGCCAGCTCGAACCTCTGTTATGACGTTGTTGTATTGACAGAGATATGGCTCGATGGACGCACCTTATCTTGTCAGTTATTCTCTGATCATTATCAGGTCTTCCGTTGCGACCGCAATGCAACCAACAGTCACAAGTCCCACGGCGGAGGTGTGTTAATCGCTCTTAACTCCAAAGTAAGAATGATCGAGAACCTCCCTCAAAACCCTTGGACTCATATGGGAACCATCGACGGATTTGATCCCAAACGAACACAATCACAAGGTGAACCGGGCTGTCAGACACAGAAAATTGTTCGACCCTCTCGGTGATAGTCCTTGCTAAAATCTTTGTCCAATCTATCTGGCGAATGTCTGAATCCTGGGACGATCCATTAGACGAGCTCCAACAGTAGCATGCACTACATAGCATCGATCACCATTCCTAGATGGGCAGTACCCGCCTCGATTTGCGTATCAATTGAAATACACGATTTCGGTGACGCCTCTGAAAATGCCTAAGGAGCCTGCATCTATCTGAGAGCCGTTTCGACTGACGGGAAGATTGTCGTACATCCATTGGCTGCCAAGTCGAAAGTAGTACAGTCCTGAAGGTAAAAACCAGCTTTTGGACTGACTCGATGATAACCCTACATTGGCTCCGTTCAACTCCATCGCAGGTGCATTCACCAAATGTTTAAGTTTTTTTTGAACTCAAATAAAGTGTATTATCTTTTGACGTAGGATTACGTCTTTCGGCACCATAATGGGGGTGCAATAAAAAAAAACAAACCGACTGCGTTACGAAATGTGGTCAGGTTGTGACAACTTATAACTCTGTCAATAGTGGATGGATTTTAATTCTAAACAAGCCAATCGATTGGAAATGTGTCTACAATTCTGCTTAAATGAACACTTAATCAGTTTTCAATAGGTTACTATTGAAAATTACACAAATGTCGAACTGTTGCAATGGTGATCAAAATTATCAACGATTGCCTGCAAAAAAAGTGGTTTCCCTTACACAGTTGCCGATACCAATCACGTAATCCTACGTCAAATCTACGGTCGTGTCTTGGATACAACCTCTTACTTTTTAAGATTATACAACTGTTGGTTCTGTTATTGCAGCTTAGATGACATGTTGTTTATTGATGTTGTTTTCCATAGAATATCAAAATTAGGGAGCCAGGTGTAATGTTTTGCTGAATCGGATAACTGTAAATCAGAAATTAGGTGCGTTTTAGGTCCCACAATGATTAAAAGTGCTCTGGTTCAAAGTCATTACCGTTTCTAAGTGTACCTCAAAAGCATCACTGTGCACTCTTATCTTTAACGAAATCAATCTCCCGATTTTCGAACTAGAACGACCGAAAGCACGACTCCCGTACCACGCATCCCTAAATCCACAGCATGTGCGTCCGAACAAATTGTGCCATTTATCCGTCTTCGAAACCCGATTCCCACTCAGACAAGCCGTTCTCGACAACTCAAGCAAATTATCCCTGCCATTTTCCACTCCATTTCCAGGAAGTCCTCCCCAAGTGGAGTTCTGTGATGATGTATTGGCTTTCGTCACGCACATTTCCCGCCCCATTCCCCCGGGAGTCCTACCGACCGATTTCAAAACCCGGACTCGAAATCCTTTGTTGTCAGTATATCACTCTGCTGGCTGTCAGCAACCGGACGGCAAGTGGCGCAGTTTCTTTTGATCGATTCTCTCTCACCATCCGGATCCCATTTTTTGCAAGCTCCCAGCCCTCCCTCCACGACGTCATTATAAACCTAAAGCGAAAACGAATCGAATCGGGGGATTGGAAGCAAAACAAACAATCATCTTTGCGTATGCCATTCGTTTTCCCAATGAGTGGGGATCAAATTCGTTGCCTCGATTCTCGTTAGCCTAACCTAACCTAACCTAACCTAGAACAGACACACACGCACACGCAACAAATATGCTTATATGTACAATTGTTTCGCTTCCACCAATGGCGGTCACCCGAGCCACCTTTTACAAATGATGGAAAATGATTGATAACACTCTATTTGTCAGCTGCTGATCCTGATATGCGGCGCTTAACGTAGCAGATGCGATCATAAATTACGACGCATTCGCCTTCGGGTGGTTTGGCGACTCAATCCCGATACCGTCGTCCCAGGTGGCGAATTTCACATTGTTGATAAATATATATTTTTATTTTAAGTAATTTTTCACGCAAATCGATTCCGTCCTCCTTATTGAATAACCATTGGTCCGTGTGCCGTCGCCCGGAGCATTTCCTCCTAGCGGATGCGACCGTCTGCCTGCTGCCCAGGTGGTGGATTTGTCGTTCCGTCGCCAACACCACCATCTGCGTTGGATCTGTCGAATGCAGCGGTGGCGACCAGAATTCCACTGTTTCCACCTGGGACGACGACAGCGGCAGCAGTAGCAGTTTCTGGTTTCCGGTCTCGTTGTCCGGCAGCGGCGGCGTCGGCGGTGGGACGTTCACCTTTGCCGGGAATGATGGCGACGGCAGCGGCCGGTCTTCAGTCATAGCTTTGCTGGTTGTATCACCGCAGCAGGGATGTTTCCGTCGATTGAACCTGGTTGACGAAGAGAAGAGAAAGAATCGACAGATGATTAGATTGGCCATTGAATTGGTTTGGTTGCTGTGTGGTGATAATCCGATCTTCTATTGAATGCGGGAAAAAGATGAATTGCGGATCAGCGTCTTCAGAATCAGACAGGGGAAAGTTGATTATGGACGGATATGTTTTGATGATGTTCGGACAAGCATTATTTGAAATTAAAGTTAGATTTGAGCCAGTTAGTATACTTTTGCTAAATAAAATTCCCTGAGTTTTCTAGGTTTTCCCAGAACTTTTACCGAAAATTTCCATGTTTATAAAAAGCGTTATAAAATATGTTATTTTTGGTTAACCTTCCTAAAGGCTGACTAAAATTAAATTGGTACGCCCCTCGCGTGCCGCCAGCACGCCTCTAGTGTTGGGAATCGAAAATCTTTGACAGTGGATTGCTTACACTTCTATAGAGATCAACGGGTGCAAGTTTGATCAAAGTAGTCGATCGCGTTCAAAAATACCGTCAAGTGGAACTCGAAAAAAGAAAAAAATTATTGTGCACAAACACCTGGAAAATCCGGAGAGGTCCGGTTCCAAGCTGGCTAAAGTGCTGAAGATGACGAAAAGAACAGTTTGTCGAGTGCTCAAAACCTACAAGGAAACTCTAAGTGTGGAAAGGAATCAGCGGACCTACGAAAAAACTGGAATCAGGGATCGTCAGCTACGCAGCAAGTTGTTGAGGTGCGTTAAAGTCAACCCCGGTCTTTCGATCCGAGATGTGGCTAGAAGGTACAACGCCAACTTTCAAATGGTGCGGAACATCCTTGCCAGGGAATGATACAAGTCGTAGGAAGCCAGTAAACATCCGAACCGGCACATAAAGCAAAATTCCGTGATCAAAAAGCGTACAAGGCTCTAGTGCGACCGTGTTTTGGCGAAACACAAGGGCTGCACTTTGATCGATAACGAAACATACGTCAAACTCGATTTTAAGCTTCCCTGTCAAAATTTTTACATCGCAACTGAACGTGGGGATGTGCCGGGAAGATTCAAGTTCGTGTTTGCCGACAAGTTCGCGAAGAAGGCCATGATTTGGCAAGCGATTTGCAGTTGTGGCCTGAAAACGGAACCATTCGTCACATCCTCGACGATGACATCCCAAGTTTACATCGAAGAATGCCTGAAAAAGCGTGTATTGCCATTCATCGGCAAGCATAGGGGCAAAGTCATCTTTTGGCCCGATTTGGCCAGCTGCCACTACTCCAAGGTGGTTCTGAAGTGGTATGCTGCCAACAAGATCGATTTTGTCCCGAAGTTAATGAATCCTCTGAATTTCCTGGAATTTCGACCAATCGAAAAATACTGGGATATTTCGAAGCAGCGACTTCGACGAAGCGGCGGGGCAGTTAAGGACACCCAGCAAATGCGGGCAAAATGAAAGAAATGCGCTGATTTCGTGTCCGTTTCCACTGTGCGGGCGCTGATGGGCTCCATCAAGAGAAAGGTTCGAGATTTTGTTCGAACTGGAGAAATGTAACCATATAATGCTGTAACTTTGAAGCTTTAATAAAAGTACTGTAAAGCAACCATTAATGGACTCAAACGTGGCTATGGTAAGCAGGAAGCCCGTAAAATGGCTTTAGCTCAGGCGATGCCTACCTCTATTGATTTGCAAAGCAGACAAAAGATTCTTCCAAGGCTGGAACGGATAATGTTGGAACGAGCAAGGCTCCCTCGTTACAAACCGGTTCAAACTCTGTGAACCAAAGGCTTGCTAAAATAACGGCTTTCCAAGGATCAAGATGGTGCTGGCATCAGTGCAAAATCCAGTCAACTCCCATACAGCGATGCCACTAGCCGTGTACTCCAAAAAAACTATGCAATCGTAGAACTAAGTACGTATCAGCAGAATCTCGCTGAAGAAGCAATTGTTTGGCGCTGTAATAATTCAACGAAAAGAGCAATTGAAACCAAAGTTTGCCAATTGCAGCTTCAAACCAGGGTATATGATTATCAATGAAAGTAATACTCCAAGACCAGACATCCTTATTACAGTATTCCAAAATCGAGAGCCAAAACGGGACTGTAAGCACCGCTTCGTGGAGGATCCTGAATCGTTCGGTGATCAATAATTTGCAAATTGAATGGGCATTGACGGTCGATGGAGCGTCTATGGTTATGCGCATAAATTATAAATTTGGACAAATAGCTCTATAAAACCAACGAAAGCTCAGGAAAATCCAAATCTGAGGGTTCCAAAATAGGATACTCAATAGACTGATGCAAAATTTGAAATTTTCGCTCCACAGTGTTCAAACGGTTTCAAATCGGGTCCTGATTAGCCTCCGAAAGTTTAAACTCATTTGATAAGAAACTGACTTGGCACAAACCATTTGAAGTTTATATGGAAATTACTATGGGAAAACAAAACTTTTCGTTCGTTGTCTTCTAGCCTTTTTTCATATTGTACTGTAAACAAATTCTATTGCTATTCTTATGGGATTTTTTATCAGCTACAACTTTGCAGAAAATCGTTTTTCAGCCAAACGTCAAATTAAATAGTTATTAATTGTTTAAGAGATTGATAATCTTATCGCAAGATTAAGCAACTGTATTGTGGGCAACACTGTATTCTTCAATGTGACATAGTAACCAGGGTGCCTTCCATTCATTTTGACTAAGAAAATGCTTTTAAGAAATTATGGAATAATAAGATATTATGAAAATATTTTGATTATGTAAACAACAAGAAAATATTGTTAAGTTTGTGTTTGACACATAATACCTGCCAATTTTGCTACATGAGAGTCACAATAAGCGATTTTGTAATTTATGTCTCCCACTCTTCGCTCTTCACTCTTCGCGAAGAGGCGATCAGAGAAACGCTCATTGTGACTCTGTTGAAGCTTAATTTGCAGGTTTGATGAGTGAAACACAAACTTTACAATCTTTTCTTATTACTTACACATACAAAATATCATCATAATATCCTATTATTCCATAATTTCATAAAATATTTTTTTAGTCAAAATGAATGGAAGGCACCCTGATAGTAGCCATGATTTTTGTCCTCTATTCTACGCGCCATAAGCACCAATGTTGCCTGCTGAACAGATGATTGAGCATAATCATAAGACATCAGTGACTTGAATCATTAATAACTTTTGTTCCTTACATTTCATCGAAAACTGGTCTGGAACAAAGTTGTAGCTGAGAACATTTTCAACAAGCTCAGTTATCATTTTTTAAAGTAGAGTGAACTGGTGAATTTTGAGATAGATATGAATCAAAATTATGGTTTCTCCATAGTAATTCCCATATAAATTTCAAATGGTTTGTGCCAAGTCAGTTTCTCACTAAATGAGTTCAAATTTTAGGAGGCTAATCAGGGCCCAATTTGGCACCGTTTGAGCACTGTGGAGCGAAAATTTCAAATTTTGCCTCAGTCTAATTCTCAAATAAAGGGAAGGGTGGCAAGGATGACCTAGAGGACAATACCAAGGATGCCAGCGGTGCTAACGGTAAACAGAACTCACAATGTCAAACAATGCCAATACCTTTTGACGTAGGACTACTTCTGTGATTTCTATATGGGGATACACTTTGTGAAAATGGAACTTGTAACAAAATTATGACAGATTTTGACCGTTAATAACTCAGCTGCCCCTGAACCAATTTCAATAATTTTATCATCAATCGATCAGAAATATTTCCACGCATCTTAGACTGTTGAAACTATTGAAAAAGTGGTAAATGTCAAAAATTGTCCAATGTTTAAATAAAAAGTAACAATTTTATCACTGTTTTCATGAAATAAACGTTCTATCCAAACCCAGTCAACATAATCGAGTACCACTTGGTTGCACATCATCCTGCTCGAACCTAAAAAGATGTTAAAGAGCGCTGCTGTCTAGCCTCAATACCAGGCTTGGGAATTGTCAACCTCATGACGATAAACTATGTAGCAAAGACTACAACAAAAAAGTCAACGCTCATCTGACAAGCACGATGCAACAAACTTCTGCTTGAAAGACTGATCTACTGGGCTGTATCTCGATCTCGACAAAACATTTTCTATCCTCGCCTTTCTCTCATTTCTAGATAAACATTTCAAAAGGTCCTATCTGCATTGATCGATTCTCTTCATCGACTTTCTCTTTCGTCAATAACTCAGCTGTAAAACCTTTCCCTGTTGTATTTGACGTTTTGGATGCTAGATTTTTTCACCTCCTTTATCAAACTATGTGGTAGAATTAGCACGAAATCTGTTTGCATTGCAGTGGTTATAAAAAGAGAAAGTCGATGAAGAGAATCGATCAAAGCAGATAGGACAATTTGAAATGTCCGTCGAGAATTTGGTCACAAAACATCTGTTGCGTGACGTTTTCCAGAACGACTTAGTTGTTTCACGCAAGCTTATGTACGCATTTTTATGATGTTATCGTGTTATGTTATGACAACGAAACCTTACCCCCAAGCTCCTCCCCTGATCCTATCCTTCGACAATGTACCACTCTAACCTCGAGTAAGCCGCGAGTATTCGGCCCAACTCCTACTAGATATAGAATTAAGTGAATTTTGTTACAAACAAAGAACAATTAACTATCGGCTCCGTAAAGCTAACGCGATTGAGCTTTCCAAATAAACAAACTAGTTAAAAAAAAACAAACACGAAGTAAAATTGAAAACATCCGAACAACGTTTAGTTCCAACGTTATGTACATCCGAAAACATCCCTAAAACGTTTGGTTCTAATGTCGAAAGATTGAAATTCTTGACATCAGGAAGGCATAAGAATAGCAAAATTTTGCTCCAAAATTTCTGATGTATACACCATGTTACCTTGCTTAAACTAAATCATAATGTTTTCTAATGTTTGACATCAGGAATACATTTGATTCTGATGCTGATGTAGACATCAAAATCAAACGTTGGGCTAATGTCAAATTCATGATTCAGCCATGTTGGATTTTTGTATGGGACAGCGATCGAGTTTGTTTACGATTTGCTCTAAAACCGCA